GTTCAGCAGCGATCGGTAGTCTCGACCAACCCACGGCAGTCGCATTCCAGGCGCAATGGGAGGAGTGTTCTTCTTTGACTGGAAACTGTGGGAGAAGTTGTGCTTCGTGGGTAACGAAATTTGTCTACAACCGAGAGGATGCTGCTGATCAAAACATGCAGGCTTTAGCATGCGCCATTGTTGTGACGGTATTACTAGGAGCGTTGAAGCTCGCATATACCCATTGGCGACTACGGAAGTACACTGCTGTTGCGGAGAAGGAGAAAAGAGGGCAGGCCATCCAGCGGCAGATGAGCCAACGTCGGCGTCACGATGCGGTGCCCTTCGGTATCAGAGCTTTGGAGAGCGGTATTGAAACTGAAGGCGTCTGGGTGTCGAGACCGAACACGCCGGAGGGCCACAGCCGCGAGAGCTCTGCAGGTTCGTTGATGCTGAAGCAATACCCACGCTCATACGAGGACGTGGACATTGAGAAGCCGATCCCGAGGGTACACCAGAAAGCCAGATCGCGTTCACCTGCAATACCTGGGACCCGACTGAGCTCGCACTTTGGACGCACTGTATCTGAAGAGCGAGTCACTACCAGTCATACAAGTCGTGACTTCCCGCCAGATGCTGCAATCATCCAAGGAGCCCGAAGTCGCCACCCGCCGCTATCGTTCGCAAAGTACAGCAACACGCCTTACGTACATCGATACTCGTCAACACTGACTTCACTGGAGAGCCTCGAAGCGGCTCAGCGCGCGTCCGTGGACGCCATTAGGCGGGCTTCGACGAGCATACATCCCGACAGCCCGAGCAGTAGCGAAGACTCGAGCCACAGCGGCCATGATCTCGAGCCAATATCGGCTTCAGCACCACTGCTGTTCACGCAACCAATACCACGACCCAGGCCGAGGAAGCAGTCGGTCGATTTCGACTTGATGCAAATACACCGCTTGTCTCAGGCGGCGGAAACAGGGCAGCTTACACCACGGGTGCGAAAGCCGGGACAGAGTAGAGATTCGTCCGTGGCTTCCATAGCCGCCAGCCAACGCGGCGATTACTTCGGAGTTCGCCACCGGAACTCATACATGCCTTCACTGGAAGGTGTGCTGCCCATACATGCGATATCCACTCCGAAGATTGACGCACTGCCAGCGGCAATCAGAAGATCCAGTATGCCAGACGTCACACCGTTTGTGCAATTCTGTGGGACCGCACCCCCGTCGCCAAGGCTGTCCAGCCAGGACACGATGTCGAATACTCGGCGGCAGAGTGATGGAATGAGTATCTACACCTCCGCGCCATCAAGTCCGGTGATTCAGGGCAATGCGTCCGCGCATTCGCCAACACGTGCACCTCTGCCAGTACCTCGATCAGAGAGCAGATCTTCCGAGCCCAAACGGACCTCCTTCGAGAAGCA